GTTGTTTATCAAATTCGCTTGACAATGGATCATGCATGTAAACAGAGAGACAGCACAGATGCGTATCAGTCGACGGGAGCCCAAGAAAACAGAAAATCTCTGATAGCGTTTAGAATTGAAGGAAAATTGAGCGTAGCGGCCCCATCATTCGGTGACAGTTTCAGGGCTTTTCCACTTGTCAAAAACCTGACGACAAAACAGCAGCCTCCGATACGCCGGGTTACACCCCAAACAGAGCTCAATAAAGCCTGCCCAACAAACTGCACAAACCGAAAAGCACATTTAAAGAGACAGCGCACCTAAAATTCAAAAATCGATCATCTACTCATTCAAAGCTTGTGTGACTTTATTTCTTCACCCAAACACAGAACAGACTTGGAAAGCAGTGTGCAAGATACTTTTAAGGTGCTTTTTGGAGCTTGACAGCTCCAGTCCCCATCCACTTCCATTGTACGGAAAAATAAAGAAAGTCACAGAAGTTCAAATTTGAATTTTTAGGTGAACGGTTGTTTTAACCGCTATAAGAGGCACTGCATAAATGATGAATGAAGATCTTGACAAACGGTTCTCAGTCAGCACTTCATAACTATCATTCAGAAAAACACGGCTATCGACTCGGACAAAAACATCAATGCCGTTGGCAGTTTGCACTCTTTCTCTGAAGCTGATGTAAAACAGCGAGGCAATACGTTTTTTGAGAGATCTCAGTTGAATTTTCATGCCACGGGCATATAAACACTCATTCACTCGCTGCAGGTCAGAAACGGACTTGTGATTAGCCTATAATTTCTTTTTCCGCATTTGCAAATTTGCAACATTAGGCACTAGGGCACATTTGGTGGAGAGGTTGTGATTATTTAAGAGAACACTTCCATTATATTCAATGAAGCTGTTGCTCGTTTGCAGTGTAGAAATGGTCTATGTTCAGAATTGCATGCTACTATAAACCTTGTATAATTTCTGTAGTATGCCGTATATATGCTATTCTCTGTATACATTATTTATGTATGGAATATTCTGGAAGGTCTGTGATAGGGGTGTCCGATATCATGATTTTTGATTAAAATGTCTCTTTCGCGTCTGATTGTGCTGCTAATACTGTCAAAACACACAAGGTTTACATATAAACACAGTTGGTAAACAGTTGAGAGAAAAACTGATGCGTTGTGTGTACTGTGTGTAAAAAAAAGTGGTGAAAGGCCAAAAATTAACACCAACAACCAATCGCTCTGGGTTGTGAAGCTTGTTTCAATCCTTAAGAGATTCAGAACGTCAATTTGTCTGCTTAAGAAACTGTTCTGACCTTCATAAAGTCGTCCGTCTTGCAGCCGAAGGCCGGGTGTAATGTTCACATAATGAATGAATGAGTCAGGAGACTCACGCAGACTTTGCCATAGGCAAAAACAAGCCTTGTTCCAATCTGAGAGGAGTCTAAAGAAGTCTGAAGAAGTCATAAAACATCATGTGCTGTGACACTGGTTCAAATAGTCAGACAGTATTTGACCCGTCACACTAAACAACTTAAGCTCACTACACTGAAGAGATACAGTAAAAAAATTTAAAAAAAACACAATCTTGAGCTGGAAAAAACTCAACCAAACATGCTAGTCCTTATTGCCCACAAAATACACAAAGGAGGAAGTTCAAAGCACAATTGCTCTGTCGAATCGGAAGAGTTCAGAGCAGCTCAGAGTTCAATGATAAAGAGAACAAACACTCTGATTGCCTTATTGTGCCTCGCTACTGTGGAAACTGTTAAAAATCCAGCAATGATGCCAAAACCGAGCGTGTTGTCATCCCATCCGTGACCAAAACACAGCAACAACAACAACAAATTTCCTATTTCGTCCTAAAATACCAATGACACACAAAGCCAGAAACTGTAGCACCCTAAATATCAGCAAATAATAATAATAAAAACTAGTACAATTACAGATAGAGACCTTTAAATGATCAGCAAAATGTCTGGAAAAATTAAATTAAATACTCAATTAAATGTACTATTAATGTTAGATATTATATTTAAAGATATATTAAATTAACTGAATGACTGAAAACGTTATAGATAGAGACCTCCCAGATGATCCAAAAACGGTTAGAACATATTAATATTTCTTCAAAAAATAAATAAATACATATGACCCAGCGGTTGGGTTAAATGTTTAACCCAACCTTCTGGGTAGTAACCCAACCGCTGGGTCAAAACAGCCCAATTGCTGGGTTTGTCCCTATTTTACCCAGCACTGGGTTGTATTTAACCCAGCATTTTTTAGAGTGTATTATTAATAATAAGATAATATTTCATTTAAAAATATATATTTAATTTCAAATTTTACAAATCTTACAAATAAATTTTACATGATATTTACAATGTCCTGAATGATTGAAAATGTTCATAAACACAGTCTGAGCACGTCCAGGTTTGGTATTCAGTCAGCCATACACGGGCGACCGCTCTCGATAAGCATCTTCCATAAACCTACTGCAAGCGTCCTGTATTAGATCAGTGAAGGGAAGTGGAAATATACAACTTGTAATGGAGCTGCGTCATTGTAGCAAATCACACGATTCCACCCCCAGTCTTTACACAACAGCAGCAGATATGAAATTATGCTCTTTATACAATTAGAAGCTGCAGTTAAAATAAGCCGTGCCACAGTCTTAAACCAGCATTTTTAACTCAGACCGAGGAACTCCCAAGCAACAAGTAACCAGAGGCTCTTCTGACTTCAAAAATTGACCTTTACTTCACCTCCTCCCTTCTATGCGTGGTCCGTCGAGTCTCCGGTCCACGTGAAAGCATGTGTGAGCCAGAGTCTTACCATGAGGGATTACAAACACACGTGTGTTTGTGTCGGGTCCTAATCACATAATGAACATGGCATTGCCCAGGACGCCTAGATCAACCCCGGCCTTCTGCTTTACACTATAAATAACACACAGAGCTGGCATCAGGAAGCCAACAATCACTGGCCATCCGTCTTCAGACTCTTGGATGATACCTGGATAGTGAGTTAAGCAGGACTAAGCTTGGCCATCAAATATCTGAGGAAAAAAGGCATAGTAACAGTCAGACGCATTGGATGCGTCGCAAATGTGCCTGTTGTGCTGATCTGATTAGGCAGACAGGTGGCAGACATGCAGACTAACACAAAGGAAAGCGGTAGTTGACATACTACCGTGTGATCTATGAGGAACAAGCTGATTCCTGTAGGCTGTGCTTGTGCACGGATTACGCATTTCAGCTGCCGCCAGGGAATTCTGTGAAACGGAGATCGGTTTACAGTGGCTGAAAGATATTCGGACACTTTCAAAGTTCTGAATGTCTTCGTGTTAAAACAAAACTCTCATTATTTAAAGAAATGGTTCACTCTCAGGCCATCCTGTAGATTTGTTTCGTCATCAGATTTTGTAGAAATGCATCATTGCATCACTTGCTCACCACTGGATGCTCTGCAGTGAATGGGTGCCGTCAGAATGAGAGCCCAAACAGCTGATAAAAACATCACAATAATCCACACCACTCCAGTCCATCAGTTAATGTCTTGAGACGTGAAAAGATGTGTGTTTATAAGACAAATACATCATTAAGGTGTTTTCACTTCATAGATGTTAAATGTGGCTGAAGTGTCTAAATGCTTGTTACTAAATTAAAAAGATTTATGAAAATCAAAATCATTTATGAAAAAATTAAAATCATTTATGAAAATTATTTATTATTTTCATAAATGAAAATAATAAATTCAATAAAAGGCTCTGACTTCACACAGAGGATCTGAACTTTGATCTGACTGCCTAATCTTATTATCAGAAAACATACAATCTCATGTTCCCATTAATAGCAGAACAACTATGACAAAAACACCACTGATCGAACCACCATGGTCCATTTTTAAGCAATCAGACCATATATAAAATCCTACCAATCAGCCTTTTAACATCAGCTCAAGAAGAACAGACATGTCGGCGCCCATAGCCTTGTGGTTAGTGCGTAGACATATAGCGCAACTGTGCTCACGGCGACCCGAGTTCGAATCCCGCCTCGAGGTCCTTTGCCGATCCTGCTCCCTTCTCTCCTCCCAGTGCTTTCCTGTCAGCTCTCTACTGTCCTCTCACAATAAAGGCATAAAAAGACCATAAATATAACTACAAAAAAAGAAGAATAGACAGTCAACCCAAAAATCCGCACAATCATCTTCCCAAAAACATGCGCTAAGCATCTTCTGGTGAAGAGGTTGCAAGAAAATCACTGCTATTGTAATATTCGGGGATGGCAGATGGGCCGAAACAGCAATAAAGTGTTGCATCACTTTCTCCTTGCAGTGATTTGGTGGTTCCTACTGCCACCCCGGCACATGCTCTATAAAACACAAATAAATGCAGATATTAAAAAATTACTATTAAATAATAAATACATTTTATTTCATATTTATTTAATATTTAATACTAAATTTGCAAGTAAAAAAAAAAACTTAAATATATATGTAATACAACCATATCTGGATTATGTATAAATTCGCAAATTATCAATATCTAGCGTCAAAACCAAAAAAGTACAGCAGTAATTTGTGAAAGATCGGTTTCAGATGTTGCCATCACACACCTGTAAACCCTTATGGCCACATGCTAATGAAAAGCCGAAGGTGTGAATGGTGGCGAGACCCTATTCTGAGAAAAGTTCAAGCTATCGGGCAGGTAGTTCTTAGCATTTCTGCATAAATGCACCAATGCATCATGTAAAACTCAAGCGCACAAGTTCCTGAGCGCGCATTCAGATCCCAGTGCTGCCAGCAACACACCCGAGCTGCTGAAGGCTGCAGAGACACATTGTTACAATCTTACTGAACACCGAAACAAATCAATGACACATGCATCCAACAGCATATGCACCTCACAATATACACAAACACACAATATCAGCCCACCGGACACAGGCTGCTCTCTCTTATGGAGATCATAACGCAATGCATAATACAGCTGAAATGCCTTAAAGCACAAACCTGTCTGTCCTTTCCCGAGGGTCTTTTCCAAGCGGTACGGTCCCACGTAATTGGCATGAGGGCTAGTGCTGTTTTCTTTCCCAGACAATGACATTTTCCCCGTCTAAACACACTTCACGCGGCGTTGCAGTTCTTGGGATACAGCAATCCTCTTAAAGCTGCGCTGCACCGGAGGACGCGCTTTACTCCAATTTAACGATGTCTGCTTTTGTTTCTCCTGCCCGTTTCGGACCGAGACTCTGTGGTTGAGGTGGGAAAAGGGCTCTTTTAATGTGTCCTCTCCTTTCCTTCACACGGGGTGAACCGGGCGGCTGAAGATCCGACTGGCATCGCGGGGACCTGCACAGCTTGTGTCCGCCTGTGCGGCTGCTCTCTCTGGAGTGGCCGGTCTGCGAATCCGCCGACGCTACTACGGCGAAGGCACGCTTATTAATATTCATGAGCTAAGCCTTCGCCATTGGATAGTCAGCAAGCGACGTCAGCATGATTGAATTAATATTAAAAAGCCATTTTTTTAAGACTAAGAAACTAATAGAGGACAATTTTTTAAATAATCAATAATGAATTAAATGAGTAATTCTGTATGTTAAATAAATACATGTGTATAATGCGATATAAATAATAATAATTGCAGTTGGGCTAATTTAGTCCTGCATTTTTCACAACTTTATTAATAAATTCTTTGAATATGTATTATATTTATTGATTTCAGTATTTATGTATTGTCATTTGCTTTAATGTACATGAAATCTACTAAAGAAGCTTAGCCATTGGAGGATGAACGTGTGACGCCAGCAAACCCTAATGCATATTAATGAGATGCGCCTGTGTCGTAGTAGGATTGGTAATTTGGCGTGCTGAGGCTGATCTGCAGCGCTTAATTTTGATTGACGGAGAAGCTCGCGAAGCAGCGCGAGTGTCCGAGTGCCGCAGCTGATGAGCTCTGACCGCGGACTGTTCTCTGACAGCAATGAAACGGTCGTAAAATCATCAAGATTATATATCTTTTTTTTTTTATAAATGTATATAATTGTATATTTCATTTCATATTTTTTAAATATTTTAAGAATGAAATAAATGAGGAATTCTGTACGTAAAATAAATAAATACATGTAGGCCTAATAATAATAATAACAATAGTAATAATAAATAGCCTACTATATAATAAATATTTGTCTATATATTAATTTATTTATAAATTTTTTTGAATATTCATTATTTGTAGGCTACTTATTTCATTTTTGTATAATTGTATACAAATATACAAATATATAAATTATTATATTATATTATATGATAAAAGTTATACTATATTATAAAAGTTATATAAGGATATAAAATTATATATAATCACAATAATTATTTTAAAATCATTCAATTGCTGTTAGACCAAATATCTTAAAACATAAATAAATAAATACAATTTTTAGTTAGTTACCATTTACTCATCCTTATCAGTGTTATTTTAGTATTATTTATATAATAGTATAGGAAGTATTAATTATCTTTTTATATTTTCAGTTTTCATTGTAATAGTAAAGTATTACTATTACTACTTAGTAACGTTTTAGACGTTTGTGCTGTAATTTTGTTGTTGTTGTTGTTAAATATTTACATATAGCATTCATTTCATTTAATTTCAGTTTAGGAGTTCTAGTACTTCAAATTAAAATATAATAAAGCTTGCCAAGGCAACATTTTCAGATATTTTTCAATTACTGATAATAATATATTATCTCATTTATATTCATTTAATCAGTGAATCAAATAAAATAAATAAAATAAAATAAAGCCTTAATAATATTCTCTCCTGTACAGTTACACACTAAATCAACAAAGTATTTTGACTATTGTTTTATTATTCATCCCTTTTTAATGTTTATTTTTTCCTGCTATGATTTCACTCATGTAACACGTTGTGGTCTCTCAGTGAGCAGCTCATGAAGGTTTAAGCTCTGTGTTCACTGAGCAGACTGTGTTGACCAGAAGCTTTATTCCACTACCTGCTGATCTCAGAGCAGTGTGAGAGTGAGAGCAGCAGCCAATGACACGCCTCCCTGAGTGTGAAGCACCCAACTCTGACTCTTCACAGCACTACATTACACATCCGTACACACCACAACACACGCTCAGCGCCTGCAGTGCTACACATACAGACCCTTCATCAGCTGTATCGTGGAATCTGAGACACACATTAACACCAGTTATGCTTGAAACTAAATCTCAGGAACAAAATCAGTTCCTGCTGGTCGACCTCAAGAGAGAACTTGATGTTCTCCAGAAGATCTGCTACTCAGGTCTGTACTGGAAGACCCAAAACAAACACACACTGTCTGAGTAGGATCAGAAACTTCCTTTGCCACAATTAAAAAGTATGCTCTATATACTGTAGTGTGTGTGTAGTATGAATGAATTCAGATGTACTACATCCGCCATTTTGGGACTGTCACATGGCCTACACTTCAACTCCTCAGCTGTGGCCTCACAGGATAGTCAATTCAGACATGCTACACCTCACAAACACTGCTTTTCGCAATATATATGTGGTATCGAGCCCAGCTTATGATTTCACCAAGTTGAACTTCCTTGAACAACATTCCCTATCAACCAATCAGAGCTTGGGGTTTGACTTAAAGCAATAGTTCATGCAAAAATGAAAAATCTGTAATTTACTCATCCGGATATTTTATTTTATTTAATTCAGCTTAATTTCATTGACAACTATTAGTTTTAGTCTTAAGTAAGGGATAATGTAAGTTTATTACACATCGCTTCGCGTCGGGGTCCTGATCACCCTGTCGGGGTTTATTCTGAGATAACAACCGGCTGGATGTACATTATCCCGCTTATTACACGGCTAAAAAGATTTGTTTTTACCATATATGTTGAAATTAATGCTGAAGTCTTCCATTGTAACACGCGGTGGTTAAGTGTTTTCTGTCACAAGATGGCGCCAGACAGTCAACGATAGCGGAGTGACTCCTTAAGCATATAAGTAGTACCGGTCAAGATAACTCGTAGTACCCGGATGAGCGGTGTGTTATTCAATTTGGCGGTTGTTATCTGGGAATAACATACCGCTGGATGGTGCGATTGACCAATCAGAATCAAGTATTCCACAGAGCCGTGTAATAATTAATCATAATAACACTGATCTTCATGTCGTTATAAACTCGTATGGCTTTCTTGTTCTTGTTCTTTTTTTTGCTTTTGCAGAACTCACGACACAATCTCATATAATTTTTTTTTTTTTACTGTTTTACGTTTTGGGGAATTGCTGGCTAATTTGTATGAATATGTTCGATCTTCTTTTCGCAGGATACTTATAGGATCTACAGTGGGTTTAGAAAAGAATCACTCCCTTTAAAATAATCACATTTTGTTGCTTTGCAGGCTGAAATGAAGACGGACACGGTTTTTGTTTTATCCATCTGTATTTACTCTGTGCAGCTTATAACATCCAAGTGAAAGATATAACACCAACATGTCAGAAAAACATAAATAATCAGAATCACTGAGTTGGAAAATATGATATCATATGATACCGCCACCTCTTTAAATAGTTCAACTCAAAAGATATTTTGAAGAAAGTTTCAGAAGTTTTTTGTCTAGCTCAATGGGGTCCAAAACTTACAAGCTCCAAAATGAACATTAAGGTAGCATGAAATCAATCCATACAGCAGTTTTCTAACTACTGTATCATTTCTTGAGTTTATACTTTGACTTAGGTTAGTAATATAACTATGTTTATGTGCATCAATGTTGTTCCAAGACCAAGGAGAGAAGCTGATCCAGAAACACATCCAGGAAATCATCAGAGTCACCAGCACATCCCCATCCACAATAACAGCTCTCAGTGAGGATCTCCCTTTGAAGCTTTGAGGAACATCTGTACACGTGGTGTCTAATCAAGCTTGCCAGTGCGTCCCTTGCTCCCCTGCATCACAACGACTGTGAAATTAATCAGAAGACGCAGCGAGCGGCCGCGCCATTTACTGTTTACATGCTGACGACCGCAAACCAAATAACTACAAACTCGGTAAATAGTGTCCTCTGTACCTTTGATTTACCATTGCCCCGTCGTCCGTGTGTGAGCAACCGGGCGAGACGGGAATATTATACAGATTTATGCTAATGAGATGCAGATGTATCAGATAGAAGGGTGAAACTGGGGAAAGCATTTGTAGATCTGAAGGGCAGGAAATTACTTAGCATGATGCTACATGGGAACATCCGCTAAACTGCCTCGAATTTCAGAAGTTAATGATGAGATGAGATGCCTGTTGTTTGTAATATAAACTAACATCCAAACATTCGCTATCACTCGCAGCTATTGATTTGATGTGTGCTGTTTATTTGATATTATGTTCCACAGTGATAAAAAATGTTAGGGAAACTAGTTTGAAAGTTACTGGGTTGTTTCTTTTTAAATATGGAACTTTCTCATGATATAACAAAACCAGGGACTGTTTTTGAATAAATTAGTTGCATATATTGCGTCTGTGGGATGCAAAGACATCAGAATGCAGAATAACGTTTGTAGTTTTATAAAGTATGCAGTTTACCTTTGATAAACACAATTAATTATAGAAAAATTATCAGGGGTGTGCAAATGAGAATTATTACAAACTTGATTATCACCAGTTCTAAGTTACATATGGAGGAGGACCACATTTACACAGAAATGGTAATTCATTTAGACAGAACAGAGACTTCAATCAGTGAATCATTATTTATTCTGTTTTTTTTTTTTTTACATGTAAATTCTGATTCATTCTAATGAATCAGTTCAACTCCGTTTAAGACGAGCCGATTCATTTGAATGAATCAAATTTTCCACCTCTAGGTACAGTATGCGAGAGAGGAATTTTTAAGATGAATTGATTCATTAGAATGAATTGGACTTTCCAACTCTGCATATGGGAGAGAGAACCATTTAGGATGAACTGATTCAATGGAATAAATCAGACTTTCCAACTACATGGTAGAAGGTTTCGGAGGAACTGATTCAACAGAATAAACTAACTCATTAGAGAAACAGCCTTTTGGGAGCTTTTTTGAACTGATTTACAAAAATGAATCAGACTTTCCAACTAAAAGATAAAGAAACAATTGTAACAAAGCGATTCACTTGAATGAAATCGTTCTTTTAAATCTACATATGAGAGAAAGAACCATTTAGGACTAAACGATACACTAGAATGAATCAGACTTTCAAACTCAATGAGAGAGAGAACAGATAAGAAAGAACTGATACACTAGAATGAGCTGAACTTTCCAACTCTACATATGAGACACAGAACCATTCAGAATAAACCGATTCACTAAAATGAATCAGACTTAAAATCTTCATCTTGGACCGCTTAGGATGAACGATTCATTAGAATGAATCAG